CAGTTCATGGCAGTCTTCGTAGGTGCGGCCATATGCCGGGACAAAACGCTCAATGCATATGAAATGTCAGGCCGCGTGTTCGTCGCCAGATAGTTCAATTCTCCCACCAAAGTCCTATACTCTGTGGGATTGCCCAGCAGCTCCTCTCCGTCCCCCTTAGGAGTGTACCTAAAGCCCGGAGGCAAAGGGGTAGACCTCGGCTTGGCGTCAATCATCCTATGACGCTCCAACAGCTGCGCAATATACCTATGTTGCGACAACACTATCTCACCCGACTTCTCCCTCCTAATTTCCATGCCCCAAAACACCTTCGCTTCTCCAAGGTCGCGCACCTTGAAGACCTTCGCAATTGCGGCTTTAATTGCCCGGACCATTTCCGGGTCTTCCGACGCAACAATTGTATCATCTACGTGCACCAAAGCAATAACCACCCCACGCTCGTCCGTCTTAACAAACATCGCCGGATCAGACTTCGAAGGATAAAGACCTAGTTTGGCGAACTCTGCTGATAGCTTTTCATACCAGCAACGGGGTGCCTGCTTCAATCCGTAAATAGACTTCTGCAGCTTGCACGCAAGCGACCGGTCACTGGATGCATACCCAGGCGGTTGCTCCATCCACAACTCCTCCTTCAGCTCACCATTCAGAAACGCAGTAGACACATCGAGCTGATGTACCGTCATGTTCCGGGCTGCGGCAACTGCTAACAAAGCACGCAATGACGAACCACGAGAGGTAGGGGCAAACAACTCCCCATAATCAATCCCCTCACGTTGCTCGAAACCCTTGGCAACTAAACGCGCCTTAAAACGCTCCACGCTGCCGTCATCGCTGTACTTAACCTTATATACCCAACGACACGGCAACAAACGAGTACCAGGAGGTGGCGTCTTCAGCTCCCAAGTACTGTTAGCCATCTGGGCGGCGATCTCCTCGTCCATCGCACGCCGCCAGTCGTCTGCATGTGGACTAGCAATTGCTTCCTCAAACGAATTAGGCTCAGGAATACCAGCAGAGAAAGCAGCGTTAACGCGACCAGTGACAGTGCGACCAGGTTCGTTTCGCCACCATTCGCCAGGGCGTTTACGCTCTCTAACTGGGTACCTAGTTCCCGCCATTTCCACATCAGGCTGATTGATTCCTTGCCCGTTCGCACTGCTGGAA